TTGGTCCAAAGTGACCCAGCAGTAAGCAACACAGGGCTCAGGTGCAAAGACCCTGACTTCACAGCCCTCTGTTCCAGATTCTGCCCTTTATTTCATGCCCCCTTCTGGGAAGGTCAACAGTTTTACCAATTGGAGTACTTGGTTAAGGTGCTGTGCTGTTACCTGTCCTTACTGCCCTTTGCCTGCACCGTTCTCCATGCTTCTCTGTGTGGTAGATATTTAACACTCTGTCAGCATCCTTCCTCTAATGTGTCCCCAGAAATGAATGCAGCCTTCAGGCCTGGCTTGCATCTTATAGAATCTTGAACCATTGCTGTCTCTTCATAGTGCTGCAGCTGCTGAGCAGCTGTTTGAAGCTTATGGCTAGCCAAAATCCTAGGTCTTTCTTGCTTTCATTTTTGTTATTGTTGTTTGTTTCTTAAAGGTGCTTTTTGAAAAGTAGGGCTGGGGACATAGTTGGGAAGTCCTTGCCTAGGTGCAAGAAGCCCTAAGTACAATCAGTCTCCAATATCCTATAAAACCAGGCATGGTGATGCACACCTGTACCATGTCTATAATTACAGCACTGCAGAGATAGGGGCTGTAGGATCAGGCATTCAAGGCCAGCCTAGACTAGATAAGACCCTGTTTCAAAAGTGTAGAGGGGGTACTCTGCCAAACTGTCTCACCCACTTTTTATAGTTGGCTTTGCAAAATGAGAGTGATGTCCTTTGGGGGGGGGTGTAAGCATTAAACCAGAGAATGCTTATGAGGTTCTTAGCGCAGGGATGGTTGTGTACTAGTATCTCAGTAGATGGTGATGGTTTTCTGTTAGCTTTGTGTGATTGGGTTTTGCTGTTTTAAAAGCAGAATTTAAGCTAGGCATGGAGGCTCATGCCTGTAATCCCAGCACTTGGAAGGTTGAGGCAGGAGGATTGCCACAAATGACAAATTGATGAGTTCCCTTATTGATGTGATTTACTGAGAGAAATATAAGACAACAGACTCAGTTGCTCCAGACTGACAGAGCCATCGGTGTGGGATCCATGAAGAAGACCGCCTTGTTTGTGCAGATCACATTTCATCGTCCAGCAGCCAGACACGCGAGGGTCTTTTCAAGGTCCTGTAAACCATGTGTAGTTAGTTCTCCCCCGTTGCTAGTTTACTTACAGTTCTCTCACAGTAGTGAGGGTATGGCCTCACCTTGGATGCTCCACTTGAGTCTCCTTGCAACATATCTCTTGAGATTAGTCACTTACGTCCTTATAGCTTGGTCCCAGTTTTTATCATATGGCCCATCAGTCACTTGGGTGAGTCACCGGGTCTTGTCACCCTCTAGAACTAAAATGTACTTCCTGTTTTGACAGGATATTCAGATGTAATATCGCATAGCAGTGTATAAAGCTCTGACTGCAGATGATTGATGTGCCTTGATATTGATCAGAGGAACAGCGATTGGGGTTTCAGCAGATGTTGGGATGTGAAGAGTAAACCTGGGCTCATCATGGAAAACTGTGGCCCAAAGAAACAGGTGACTCTGAAGAAAGAGCACAGAGGACCTCGAGGATTGCTTGGGGCATGAGAACGAGCGTTCAAGAGGTGGACAGCTGCCGGCCGTGTGCTGAATCACTGAGGAGACTTGATTTCTTAGTGCCTGCCATGGAGGGCTGTGGACAGCCACCTACTGGGTGTACCTGACCTTTCTTACAGATATGCTGCAGCTAGTACCAAAATGAAGTCACAGCACCCTGAGCCGAAACTAGTCTATAGGCCTGGCTATGCGTGTGGGGGGGGGGTGCGTGTGTGTGTATACATATGTATGAGACAGAGTGTGGGTGCATGTGTGCCATAGCACAGATGTGGAGGTCAGCGGACAATTTTCAGAAATTAGTTCTCTCCTTGCACCATGGGATCCAGGAACCAAAGTCAGGTCCTCAGGTTTGTGCGGCAAGTGTCTTTCTCACTGAGCCATCTCACTGGCCCATATTTAAACTTTTAAAGCCCAACATGGTGGCACATGGCTTTAATCTCAGTACTCGGGAGGCAAAGGCAGGTGGATCTCTGTGAGATTAAGAGGAACCTGGTCTACATAACGAGCTCCAGGTCAGCTGGGTCTATAGGGAGACCTTGTCTCAAAAAATCAAAATAAATAAGCAAACTTTTAAAACTCAAAGCTTTTTTATTGTATCTTGTATTTTTTTATTTTCCAAAGAGTGGCACTTGGAATTCAGATAATGGAGAAGAGCTACATGCAGCCTGCTCCTAGCTCAAAGTTGGGGCGGAACCTCATATGGCCTCTTCCAGCTCACTTTGCTGCCCAGTCCCCACTCGTAGGCTTCCTTGTGACCCTGGCTCTAAGGCAGATATGAGAAATGACTGACAAAGTTCCGTGTCCCTGGGATGCAGTCCTCCTGTCATCAGTTCTGTCCTGGAGTATCCAGCTCCATAGGGTCACTGCTAAGCAGTTTCTACTGAGCTCATTTTCTAAGCTACTCTCTCCCCTGAAGCCTCCTTGTGCACAACAGCTGCTCTGTTTGTAGATCACCATGGGCTGCACCCCAGAATTACCCTGATTCATTGTTTCCACTCTCCATCCTGTCCCTTGCATGCCCCGTTCCCTCCAAGTCTCGTCCCCTCCATGCTCTGTCCCTTCCACACCTGTCCCCTCCATGCTCCGTCCCCTCCACACCTGTCCCCTCCGTGCCCCATCCCTTCCATGCCCCATCCACTTCAAGTCCCATCCCTTAGCTCCCTCAGCCAGCTCCCTCAGTGAGCAGTATTAGTTTTCCGCCCCAGGAGCCCCACCCTGTGCTGCAGTCACTCAGTCTCCTCCACTTCTCCTCTAGAAACTGTATTTGCCACCTTGATCTCTTGACCCTTTGTGTCCTGTGGTCTAGCCCTGCCTCAGGGCCTGGGTTCTGGAACCAGATTTCCTAAATCCACTTGGCAGGAGCCTTTGAGCACAGTAATTAGTCTTTCTGGCCTTAGTTTCCTTGACAGGTGGATGAAGATGAGAACGAAGATACTGGCCCCTCACTGGTGTGTCATATGTGCTTACTGTCTGCCAAGTACTTAGAGTGCAGATGGTGCATGGCCAGTGAATGCTGAATGCTGCCGCCTCATGTGCTTGTTGCTCTCGTTTGTACAGGTCTAATCTTAAAGTGCTAGTCAAGTAAGTGCTCCACTGGCTTCCTGTTACTTCTGGGGCTTGTTCTGGTTTTCTTTGAGGCAGAGTCTCTCACTCTTTCGCCTAGGCTGGCCTTGAGTTCTGTGGTCCTCCTGCCTTCTGAGTGCTGGGATTACCAGCATGCACTATCGTACCTGGCTTCCCATCACTTTCAGAACAGTGCCCACAGTCCTGCATTTCCTGATTCCTTTTCTGGCTTTTTTTGAGGGGGGCTACTTGCTCTGCCCCAGTCTTCCAGTGAGTGGTCCTCTTTCGTGATGCCCAGACATGACTGCATGTCATCAGATCTCCCTCCCCATCCCTGGTCATATGTCAGCTCCTGGGAGTAGACATTCCATATCTTCAAGTGTCATCCCTCATCTTCTATTGCCTTGTTTCATGCACGTTTTTTTTCTATCTTATGAAAAGATAACTTCCCATTATCTAGCATGACATTGTATATGTTTATGGGCCAACCCTACTGGCCCAGAGTTCATACTAATTGCAAGCCAACAAAAGCTGCCAGGCATGGTGGTGCATGCATGCCTGTAATTTCAGCACTCAGGAGGCTGTAGTGGGGGGATAAAGATTTCAAGGCCATCCTGAGCTACATAGTAAACTCCAAAACCAGATGAATGGATGAATTAATGAATGAATGAAAACAGGTGGGGGACTTTGTCTCTCATTCACTGTGTTAGCCCCAGGGCCTGGTGTGTGTGTGTGGGGGGGGGTGTGCACATGCGTGCACACTAGGTCTTAAATCACATCGGCTGAATGGTGGATGAATGGGCAGCCAGTGTGGGTGGGCAGAGGACTTCCTCTCCCCTCTTCCACATGACAGGTGCTGGCATTACCAGATAGGTGCAGAGCTCCAAACTAACTTTTTTTTAAGTTTTAATTTTCATTTATTATTTTGTGTATGTGTGTCTGGGTACATGTGTGGAGGTCAGAGGACAGCTTTGTGGAATTGGTTCTCTCCTTCCATCTTTACATGTCCAGGGATTGAACTCAAGTCACCTGGCTTGTCCACTGAACCATTGACGTTTTGAGATGAGATCACTGGGGAGAGTTCAAGTTTTGGGTCATCTCCTCCCCAAGTTTTTTTCAAGGAGGGGCTGGTTTTGTTTTGTTTTTTGAGATGGTCTCCTGTAGCCGCAGCTGGCCTGGAACTCGCTATTTAGACCAGACTGGCCTCAATCTCACAGAGATCTGCTTGCTTCTGCCTCCTTGCCTGGCTGTGTCTTAACAAGCTGAGCAAAATAGTTTCCTTTCCCACCAAAGATGAGTTAGTCTCATGCCACTTTGTTGTTTAGTCTGCATTTCATTTATTATTTGACATGACGTGAGTGGATAGAGTTAACCATCTAAATTATGTCTAACCAGCACCATTCTGTCAGTGCCTGGTGAGGGTAGTTCGTCCCTCAGACTTTGGTTGCAAGGGTAGCGCAAGAGGAGAGAACTCTACCGAAGAGGTCAGAAACTCACCTCGGCTTGGTCCCCAGACTGTGCTATACAGTAACTCAAGAAAGTAAAGCCCAGAAATTCCTCTGACTTGTGTTATTTTAAGCAGGTGCCACCATCTTGTGATAGCCCAGGTTTCCAATAGATGCCCCCTCCCCATGTTGGTTCATCCCATAGCTGCAAAGCTGGGTTCTCCATGCCTTGGGTTGTTCACTGGCCTATGCTGTGTTCTGTGTAAGTGTTGGTTTAGAATAGTCTTATCACTCCTTATTACAAAATGAGATCTTAACTGTGCTTACACTTAGGTGTGACTCAGAGAGGCAGAAACCCAGAGTTATGTTTCATAAGCTGTGCTCCCTGTGTTCACTCATGGACAGTTTATATTGTTTTTCAGGCTATGGTTGCTTGTTACCCAGGCAATGGAACAGGCTACGTCCGTCATGTTGATAACCCAAATGGAGATGGAAGATGTGTGACGTGTATATATTATCTAAATAAAGACTGGGATGCCAAGGTATGCAACTGAATTCAACAGTTATGGTTTTTCTCACAGGTATTTTTCTTCTCACAAACACTTGCACTTCTTATAAATGAAAGTGGCTGTAATACACGGGCCGTTCTCTCTCCAGTCCGTGGCCATCTTTACATGTGTTTTTGTGAAATGAAACAAATACTACTGTATTTGAAAACAGGCACTAAGGCACTAAAACAGTGGTGGATCTTATACAGTGTGCACCTGTAGGTGGCGCTGTGGGGGAGCTGGAAATGATGGCACACCTGTGACCCTGTGTTGGGAAGATGGACACAGTAGAATCCATTCAAGGCCCTCCTCAGTTGCATAGTGAGTTCCAGGCCCACTTCAGCTACATGGGACCTTGGCCCAAAAAGCAAAGCTAAAACAAATAATATGATGTTGTGCACTTAAAAAATTAAGGTCCCGTGTTCAGTATCCTTACTACATACACAGAGAAGGTGATGATCTGTGATTGCTGGTGCCACAGTCTATGAATAATGTATTAAACTATTAAATTGTACCCATTATATATCAGTACTTTTGGCATATTAATTACACTTCATTAAAACTGTCAAAAGGACTAGTATCTCCTAAAAGAATTAGTTCCAGATACTGAAGAGTTTTCTGAAACTTTCATTTTTACAAAAGTGACCTTACTGAAATAAATTCCTTTTAATGGTTTTTAATGACACACTGACAAAGCCAGCAAAACCAATTAGAATGTACAGTATGTGTCAACTGTTTAAGTGATTTTTTTTTTAAACCAGGTCTTTTATATATCTCTGGGTGGCCTGAAGCTCACTGTGCTGACCAGGCTGGCCTTGAACTCACAGAGATTGACCTGCCTCTGCCTTCCGAGTGTTTGGATTAAAGGGGTGCAAAGGGAACACTGGGTAATTTTTTAACAAATCAAATAACCAAGCTGGGGAGGTGGCTCTGTGGTTAAAGCATTCGCCAGGCAAGTGTGAGGACCAGAGTTTGTATCCCCAGAACCTATACAAATGCCCAGGGTGTGTTCTACCGCAGGAAGGCAGATACAGGGGATCCCTAGAGCAAGCTGATAGAGAGATGAGCCATGTCAGTGACCTCTGGGTTTGATTGAGAGACCCTGCCTCAGTGAATAAAGCAGAAGATGATTCCCTGCATCAACTTCTGGCCTCCATTTGCACGTGCACCCACATACATATGTGCCCACACATAGAAACATGCACACACACAAATGGAAAAATTAAAAATCACTTAAAATACAGAGCTCTTCTTACCCCAAACACACAACACACACAACACCCAAAGCCTCTGTGTGAGTATCTAATCCTCCCCTGAGAAGTGTTGGGATTTAGAATGTGTCATAACTCTCCTAAGTTTTTCTGATTTGTGGAGTCTCCATGATTCCAGTCCAAGTTCAAAGCAAAGGTAACTCTGTTGCTGAGCAGATCTCATGAGCATGTTCCCGTGCTGCAGCCTCCAGAGCTTGAAATAGAGAATAAATGCGATTCACCGTGAACCCAGGGTGCAAGGTGGGTTGGAGTTGCTGCAGTTAAAATTTAAAAGTGTAGTGGCACATGCCTTTAATCTTAACACTCAGGAAGCAGAGGTAGATGGATCTCTGTGAGTTTGACATCCACTTTGGTCTACATAGCAAGTTCCAGGCCAGCCAGGGCTCCATAGTGAAATAAATCTTGTCTCAAAAAAAAAAGGTGGGGCAGTGGGAGGGAAATGGGGAAATGTGTATGTAGGAAGTTGTCAAATAATAAATTTTTAAATGTATATATTTTAAAATTGGGTCAGCGAGATGTCTCAGTGGGTAAAGATGTTTAAAACCAAGCTGAGTTCAATCTCTGGGACCCACATGGTAGAACTTAAAAGTTTTGACTTAAAAAAAAAAAGTATTTTGTGAATACCTGGGAAGCCAGAAATGTGTTTGACCAGCCTCCATCATCTAGGTCTTGTTAGGGTCTTTCACTTTTACATGATTAGCCAGTCTTCTTGTGGTTTTAAATTAGTACACAGGCAAAAAACAGCAGTTGGGTTTTTATGTGTGGAGCAGTGCCTTTGGGCATTTGTGCAGTGGGCAGATGCTATTTGGGTGTTGGATCAGCAGAACCCAGAATGGCAGTGGGAGGAGGTCCAGGTGCAGGCTGACAGTTACAGCAGCTTGTACCTGCTGTCAGGAAGGACTGGGCATAGGGAAGGCTGCCCAGTTCAGACCAAGGAAGGTTTCAACTTTGGAGGGCAAAGTGTCAGCCAGCCATTTCTCTATAAGCACTTGCAACAGAGTACGCTGAGGGGCGGGACAAGGAGAAAGAGGACACACTTGTGGTCCCAGTCTGACAGGTCTCTTAAGTGTTTGAAAGATGCCTCAGGACTCAATGACACAAGATTCTGAGTGGCTGAAATCAGTTGGGGATGAGCCGTAAGTCTACCATCTCTTAACTATAGGCATTCATGTGCCCTTCAACTTTTGAGTTCACCTGCTGAGAGCATAGTTGCATTAGGTGAAAGAGTCCTGGTTGGCTGGGCATGGTGGCACACATCTGTAATCCTAGCACTTGGGAAATAAGTGGAGGCAGGAAGATGAGAGTTCAGAGTCATCACTGGCTACATAGCAAGTTGGAGGCCAACCTGGGCTACTTGAGATCCTGTTTCAAAAATAAATAAATAAGTAAATAAATACATAGCTCTGGGTTGGGCGGGTTTCACCTAGCTTTTTTCCTCTTAGACTAAAACACAGGGACCGGGTCTATCTTTGTGTCCCCTGCTCCCCATGTAGGATCCCCACAGTTCTCAGTGCACCCAGTATGATGTCTGTGATGAGTCTTTCAGTCCCCACAGCAGCTGTGGACCAGATAGATGAAAAGAGTCATACGGGTGAGTTTAACTTTTAGCATCTGTCATCCATGTCAGGCCCAGGCTACACAGGGATAGCCAGGTAGGAGGACATCAAAGTCTAAACTAGAGGCAAAGAGGTTGGGGAAGATGATTCAGTGGGTAAAAGCACTTCCCTCAGAGCCTGATGACCTGAGTTTAATCCCCTGGACTCACATGGTGGAAGGAGATAACCAACTCTTGAAAGTTGTCCTCTGATCACCACACACAAAAATATAGAAGGTAACTTAAAAAAAATAAACCAGAGGCAGTAAGTTCACCCACTTGTTAAGTGTCTGTTGAATGTTAAAACACGACACTTGGACTGGAGAGGTGCTCAGGAGTTAAGAGCACTTGCTGTTCTTCCCGAGGACCTGGATTCAATAACCAGCACCCAGAAGGTGGCTCTGTTGCCCTCTTCTGGCCTTCTTGGGTACCACACACATAACAGTGTACATACCAGCAATCAAAACATTTGTATAAATAAAAATAAAACAATCATTTAAAAAAAAAAAAAACCATGATTCTTGTTTATCTGATAGGACACTCCTTTCCTTGGGTAAGCCATTGAGCCAGGTGACTTCATGAACACACAAGCACCAATAGAAATGCTCACTGGTTTTCAAAATGCCCATGTTTTAGAAATTTTGCATATTTGTGTTTCAGGTATTTACCAAAAGAAAAAAAAGGAATTTTCCTTCCTTTAGTGTTGTACAGTTGTACATAGAATCTCAGCTCACCTTTGAAAATTATATGTATGTATATGTATGCACGAGTGCAAGTGCCCACAGATGCTAAAGGCATTGGATTTTCTTGGAGCTGGAGTTTTTCTAGAGGTTGTGAGCTGCTTGACGTGTTAGGAACCCAACTCAGGACCTGTGCAAGAACAGCAAGAACTTGTAACCACTGAGCCATCTCTCCAATCCCCTGACCTTTTTAAGATTTAATTTTTAATGGTGTGTGTGTGTGTGTGTGTGTGTGTGTGTGTGTGTGTGTGTTTATGAGTACACATGGGTACAGGGGCCAGATCCCCTGGAGCTGGAGTTACAGGCAGGTAAGCCACCCAGCATGAGTGATGGCAACTGAATTCAGATCCTCTGGAAGAACAGCAGGTGCTCTTAACCACTAGGCCATCTCTCCAGCCCTTCAATTCACCTTTATACCTTGTTGTGTTCACAAATAATCCAAATAGCTTTTTGAGTCCTTTAACCAACCCCCAACACGCCATTTTTGGTGGCTTGTACTGAAACGTTCTATTCTTTTCCTAGGTAAGTGGAGGTATACTTCGAATTTTCCCAGAAGGCAAAGCCCAGTTTGCTGACATTGAACCCAAATTTGATAGACTGCTGTTTTTCTGGTCTGATCGACGTAACCCTCATGAAGTGCAACCAGCATATGCTACAAGGTAGTGTTCCTTTTACAGAACCTTAGTTGAGAGTGTGATTGACAGGATGGGTGGTAGGGGTGAGCCCAGAAGTTTCTCCATTTGGCTAATCACACTTGGTCCTGAGAGTGTCTGTGTTCACACAGCTGCACCTTGCTTGAGATGAAACAGGGCTGGCCAGCTCTCAACTTGGTGCACCTGTTGTGCCCACCCTGGATCCTGTGAGCGTTTTTTTGTTTTGTTTTGTTTTTTCAGGGCGGGTAGAAAGGTAAGAAAGGAAAAGGGTAGCTTCTGAAAAGTAAGTCAGAGAGCAGCAGTGAGGAGAAGAGGGAGGGGTACAGTTACCATCTGTGAAGTGCACACTGAGAAAACAGCTGTTGAGCTGTGATAACAGTACACATCTACCAGGCGTGGTGCAAGTCTGCCATCTTAACACAGGCAGGGGCAGAAGGATTGCTGCAAGTTCAAGGTTAGCATGGGCTACAGAGTGAACTCTAGGTCAGGTTGTGGCTACAAGGGAAGACCTTGTCTCAAAGAACCAGAAAACAAAAACAAGTTCTTCTAGCCAGGTGTGGTGGCACACAGCTTTCTTTAATCCAGCACTTGGGAGGCAGAGGTAGTGGATCTCTATGAGTTCATGGCCAGCCTGGTCTACATAGCGAGTTCCAGGCCAGCTGGGGCTACAGGGATCCTGTCTCAAAAAGGCCAAAAAACAAAACGAAACAAGTCCATCTCTTTTTCCCCCATCTGTTTCATTGTACTTTAAGGTTTAGATTCTGAACTGATCGTGTTTAGGGCATTCCTTTGTAAGTCTGTTTTTAACATGTTTCTAGTCAATGAACACATTCAGACAAAGACTTTTGTAAGCCATTATGAACTGTGTATTTGTAAAAGGCATGATGTTCTCAAAGGAAGGTGGCAGGAGTACTCTGCTGCTATCTCTGGCTTAGAAGCAGCCAGGTACTGAACGGGGGGAGCAGCCCAGTGCCTGCAGTCACAGTGGCCAACAGCTAATGGCCCTGGAGAAGGCCTTGGAGCCTGTGTGACACCCTCCCTTTTTCTTCCTTATAAACCCTGCTGCCATTACTGATGCACAGAATCCACATGCAGCTGCATGGTAGCAGCCGGAGATCAAAGGCATCTGGAGTGGAGACCCAGGAGCACTGGCACGTCACCCATGCCAGAGGTGTGGTCAGGAGAGGGGCTGCTGGGCCAGGGAACAGAGACTAGAGTCCAGATGGGTCTGTGCAGCCCTGGACAGAGGGCCGACAGTTGAAGTCCCAAGAGGATGGATATGAGAAAGAAAGCCCTGAAAACCACTTGTGGGAGATGGCTTGGAAGAAAAACCAGAGTTTTCTGTTAAGGACTCAGACCTCTGGGAGGAATGAGCACATGTCAGAACTCTTGTTGGCAATTACCTGACACACCTGGGGCATGGACAAGAGATTCAAAATTATTCATCTAATACTCTTCCCTGAGGAGGCTTGTGGTAGGAATGGAGGTGGCACTTGGGCAGAGCAGGGTGAGCCTCCGGCCAGTGTTGAAATCTGTGTACTTGCAGCCTTGCAAATTGTAGCAAACACTTTCTGCTCTGTGACTGTTCTTACCCTATTCTGTACTTTCTTCTAGGTACGCAATAACTGTTTGGTATTTTGATGCAGATGAGCGAGCAAAAGCTAAAGAAAAATATCTAACAGGTAAACATGGCTGGGGGCCCTGGTCAGCTGGGGCTATCAATCAATCAGATGGTGCTTCCTGAAAGCTAAGCACAGACCAGGAATGATCATGCTTATTTTTTGTCAGATTTTTTTTTTTAATGTATGTTTTATGTGTCTGAATGTTTTGCCTTCATGTGCAAAAGTACACCATGTGTATGCAATACCAGCAGAGACCAAAAGAGGGTGTCTGAACCCTGGAACTGGAGTTACAGGTGGTTTTAAGCTGCCATGTTGGTGCTAGGAACTGAATCACGTCCTCTGCAACGGCAGCCAGCACTTTTAACCACTGAGCCATCTCACCTTCACCAACGTTTTGTCAGATTCTTAATCCTCTTATTTAAAAAAAGGATTTCTCAAGTTGGGCGTGGTGGTGCATGCCTTTAATCCCAGCACTTGGGAGGCAGGAGTAGATGGATCTCTGAGTTCAAGGCCAGCCTGGTCTACATAAGTGAGTTTCAGACCAGCTGGGGCTACAGGGAGACCCTGTCTCCAAAAGACCAAAAAACAAAAAAAAGGATTTCTCTCAAGTCATCTTGTTATTGTTAACCACCGAAATTGTCCAAAGATTAGGAAAGTTTGAGGCAAGTGTGAATAAGTAATTTGAATACAAGCTTTTCTGTGACTGTCCTTTTGAGCCACAATTTGCTCAGTGCTCTTCAGACCACCTGTCCCCTCCCCTCCTCCTTTCCTTCCTAAACATTTAAAGAATGAGTGAACATGAATGTTCACACAAAGAAGGTGAACTGGAATATTGCCCAAGCCCGCAGATAGGTGCGGTTCCCCACATGCCCACAGTGTAGGTCACATGCTTGTCTTGTGCCTTTGTGTCCTCATTGTGTAGGTTTACCTGTCCTGGGGTAGTGACATCACTGGAGACGGACCCCTTGCATGCCTTTTCTTTAACCCTTCCTTCCATTTCCAAAAGTCTACACAGTGTTTCCATTACCTATTCACTGTATTCTGAGGTGGTGAGAACCCAGCTTGGATTTTTGTTAGAACAAAAAGATGGAATATTCCTGCATTTTCTGTGTATTTTTAAAGCCTGATCTGTGTGCTTTGGGGTGGCGTTCTACACTCCACTGCTTTAAAGTAGTCAAATGGCTTTAAAATAAAAGGAGACAGTGGTGCTGTGTCTGTAGAGATGGCTTTGTCTGCCCTTTAGGGTCTAGATCAGAGAGTGCACTTGTCCCTGATGTTGGGAGGAGCCTCACAGGAGGCTGGAAAATTGAGGGAGGTTGTTCTGGTCTTTGGGGTGCAGTCACAGAAGCTCTCTTTTGCTTAAGTGATCATTTCTATTTTCCATGTAGGTGAAAAGGGTGTGAGGGTTGAACTCAATAAGCCTAATTTGGTCAATAAGGACGTCTAGCAGGGCCTCAGATCTGGCAGGACTCACGTCCCCTACAGCCGCTCAGATGCCGACTTCAGAGTCCAGTGGATGGAAGGAACAAGGACACCTGGTTGGCATTTCAGCAGGGTGCTGTCCAACAGAGGGTACCAACTGCTGTGACTGCTGTGGGGTTGGCTCCAGATCTGTGACTGCCCCGTGGCTGCTGCCCTGTCGGAGCAGAGGAGGAGGCACTGTTGAAGAATGACTTTTCCATCTGGACATGAAAAAAGGGCCCTGTGTAGGATTTTTTCATCTTCTATTTTGCCAGATCTGTCATCTGAGTTCATTTCATCTCTTTTTTTATATCAAGTTTAAAAATTTGAGGTAATTTTTATATGATTAGGTACAATTTATCAAAACTGAATTGGGAAAATTACAGTATTATTCCTCAAAATAACATCAATCTATTTTTGTAAACCTCTTCATGCTATTAAATTTTGCCCTAAAGACCTACGATGATTGTCACCAATTGCTGATGGTTCGTTACTTTTGGCTGAAAAAAGGGGCTTTATGTTTCCAGCTGAAGTTCACAGTGATTTCTTGGCCTGTCTCATACTAATTTGAACTTGTAAAGATTGCTACCGTCACCTTGTTGATAAGGAACCTAACAGTAGACAGTGGCCACTGACTACCAAGTAACTTTTAGCTCATGCTTTATGAGAGGAAACAGCCTCAGGAAGTAAGGTTTAATTTTTTAACTGACTGGCACTAAATGGACTTGAGGTTGTCCTCAGCCTCTGGTTCCCAAGACAAAGGGCTTTCTTCAGCTTCAGGTCTATTCTGTAACCATCACGTCCCCCTGCCACAGCTCCCGTGTGGCCCCTCCTCAGACTGACTGCACTTTCAGACATGCTGTTCCACCTCCTCCCAGACCAGAGCCTTGCTCTGTAGGAGATCACCTGGTGGCCCCAGGACTGGAACCTATGTGGTTGTAGCCTGTCTTCGGCTCCTGGGACAGCTGTGAGTCACTTTCACAAGCAATACTAAAAGATGTGTGTGGAGCTTAGAAAGTCAAAAGAAGCGCAAAACCAGATAGTCTGATGGATTTTTCTCTTTTTAGAGAAAAGAGGGATGGTAGCACAATCACAAGGCCTCCCAGACTCTTGCCACCTGCCCGGCCTCCTTAGCAAAGCCAATGGGATAGTGCCCATACTTCACACGATTGTGGGTGTGACCCCTCAGCCCCCCTTAGGTGTTCCTTGATCTTCTTTGCCAAAATGTGTGTATACAGAAATATCTCTGTATATTTCACAACAGTCTTAGCACCTGTATAGTTTGTATTCAGTTAGAAACCTTTTCTATGGAAAGCTCAGTAATTTTTATTAAAAGCTTGCTATTCATGTAAAACATGAAAAAAATAAAGCTGATAGTGTGGTTGTGGGTCACTCAGTACTGTGCTCTCTTGAGGGACTCACAGCAGGAAGTTCCGTTCTGTCCCACACCCTCTCCTTCAACACCGATAACCACTGACACCTCTCCAGCAAGTGCCTCTGCCTGCCAGCCAGCCAGCATGGGGCTTTCGCCATGTTGTGTGGGCAGTGAGGTGAAGCAGGCCACTGCCCCGAAGTGCTATATTTCTGAGTTGGGGGAAATCATTCGGCATTGGTGGAAGGTCTCTTTAATGGACAGTCGACTGTTAAATGTGGGAGCCCCTGGTGTCCTTCAGATTGGACCTCTGCTGGTGTGCCAAGTACCAGATTCCACTGCCTGGGGGACAGGGTGTGCTTGCCAGACAGCAGGATTTAAGTTGTGTATTTTGGGGGAAAGTTTGTGTACATTCCTGGAGGTCATTGTGAAAAGATAATCAGGATAGCCATTCCCTTAAGCTCTTGGTTTCATGTTAGTGGCACCATTAATTAACCTGTCACCAAGCAGGACTCTATGTAAAACAAAATTTAAAACTTTGTGGCCTCTGTGTTAATCCTGGTTAAAGAGAAAGTTTTATAATGCTGTTTTTATTCAACACATCAACCAGCTGTGGACCATGAACCTTTGTCCATGAAAGGCAGAGAACTTCAGGATTCCCATACAGAAACTAAAGTCGTGTGATTAAAAAGTGATTATTTCCTATGAAAGTAAGCTCACGTTGCTTGTAAAGCTAATCTAATCAAAAAGATGTATAAATGTTCTTGAAAAAATTACCGTTGTCACCTCCAGCTGTCTCGTTTTTAGACCATTTCCATACATTGTCCTTTGGGCCCAGTGGTCAGTTACCTTTCTGTAATTCAGCCCTAGTCTGTTCCAGACCAGGTGGCATCACCTTTGCAAATGATGAGGGACGAGAAAGCAGCCAGCAGGAGTGCGGCTGGTGCAGAGACCTCACCCGGCTCGGGCCTATAGCTCCACTTAGATTCTCAGTGCTGGAGTTCTTGCTCCCTCAGTGGGAAAGGCATTTTAAAGCCCATAGCTGCTGAGTGTCGCTGGCTCGCCCGTGCTGCAGGAGGGGCACAGCATGTACTTGCAGGGCCAGTAGTATGCAACTGTGTGCACAGGAACCTTTGTGTTCGCATGAAAAGTCACCAGAGTTCTTACATCACGGCAATAGCATGTTGTATATCTCTTTAGGAATCTAAGGTGAGCCAGGCCTAATGGTGCATACCTTTGATCCCAGTGCTCCGGAGGCAGAGGCAGGCTGGTATCTGATTCTAGGTTAGCTGGGGCTACAAGGGAGACCCTGTCTCAAAAACCCCAAATAAACATACAAATAATCTAGTGTGGTGTTTAATGTTTGTTCTGGCCTATCGGCATTTGGGAAATTGTATTGAAGTATGTACGTGATGGCTAAATTCAGTAGTGTTAAAAAAAATTGAATCATTAGTTCTGAGAACCTTATGAGCCATGCTTTGAAACAGCCTTGTCATTGTCTAGGCTGGCCTCGCACTCAGCAATCCTACTGCTGCCTCCCAAGCACTGTACTTTCCAGTCCTGGGACAGCATGCCCTGCCTAACGGCTCTTGCTGAGTGTTTTGACTCCTGTCTATGCCCTGTGCTTGCCTGGGCTGGTGGCCCTTTCTGTCCACAGTCCAGTACTTGGGACTTTTTTCTTCACTCACAGGACTTGGTCTCCTGTTCGTCAGACCCATGTCCCTATGGTGCTTCCAACCAAGGCATGGGGGAGTAGATGCACCTAGATCTACACTTACACTTCCCTGCAGCTCAGCCCAGGACAGAAGCCCACACTGGAAGGCCTTGCCCCAGACTTCCAAGACATCATTGTTCTGGTGTGTGGATCCCGGGAAAGCCATGGCTGGTTCTTTATATGCTGTGTGTCCATTGTCTGAATCCCAGGGTTCTAGATGCACAGGTGCATTAGCCTGGGGCTCTTCTGGAATGATCTTTTGCTCTTTTTTGTCTCCTGTTACACAGTGGGGACAGCATCATGTGTTTAATGCTGCCATGACTGAGTGTTCACGTTTACTTCACAAACATCTGTTTCAGTTCTTCCATGTGTCTACTATAGGCTGTTGGTTTCTAAAAAAAAAAAATTTTATTTTTTGTGTATGAGTGTTTTGCCTACATGTAAGTGTACCCATACATGCAGTGCCCTTGTGGGCCAGAAGAGGGTGTCTGGATCCCCTGGAATTGGAGTTACAGTGTTGTTAGCCATCATGTGAACCAGACCTAGGTCCTCTACAAGAGCAGCCAGTGCTCTTAACCACTGAGCTGTTTCTCCAGCCCCTCAAAAACTATCTCTTACTGTCTCAACCTTTTTGCTTGAGACAGGGTCACATACAGTTGAAGGCCTTGAACTTCTGACCCTCCTGTTACATCCCTGAAACTACTGTAAGAAGATGAGCTGGCAAAAATTCTTAACCATAAAGCAGAAGAATACTTAAATCCACTCCTTAATAAACTTTTTCTTTGTGGCCTTTGAAACAGTCTCCCTATAGCCTCAGCCTGGAACTTGCTATGTAGACCAGGCTGGTCTCGAACTCAGAGATTCGCCTGCTGGAATTAAAGGTATGTGCCACCATACCAGGTAATAAGCCTTTTCTGAATAAACATTGGAACTAGAAATCTATGCCCAGCACTATGGCACACTCCTGTAGTTAAAGCTACAAGGGAGGCTATGCCCAACCTGAGCTGAATCGTTTAATCCCAGACACCCACATAAAGGTGGAAGGAGAGAACAAACTCCACAAAGAAGGAAAGGCGGGCAGGCAGAAACAGCCCTTCAGGAAAGGAGAGGAGTGTGGATTTAAGTCAGACAAGAAGTTTGAAAATGTGAGTGACCTCAAGAATTAGCTACAAGGGCCAACAAGGCTCGGCAGGAAAAGGTCTAGAGGGTTAGGAAGCAGAGCACACACGAGAGTGCTGATGAGCTACAGCGCTTCGCAGTACCAGGGAGAACTTCAAGCTCCTGGCAGTATGAATGGCTTTCCAAGACAGGGAGGCTGTCCTCCGTCCTCCCCTATGGGTCCCAAGGCAGAACTATTTGGTTTAAAGGCCAATTAGTCACTATGGGTCCAGGTTACTTTATAAGAGAAGTTGTATGTTGGTTGGTTGTAGTTTAGGTTTTTGAGACGGTTTCTGTGAAGCCCAGGTTGACCTGGCACAATGTAGCTAGCCAAGCTGGCCTCCAGCTCATAGGCAGTCCTCCTGCCCCAGCCTTCTGAGTGCTGGGTTACACTCCCAGCTTAATGTTTGTATGCATATATAAATGTATAAATGTATATTTTTAAGTTATCTTACTGCAATACATACACAAGAAACCTGTTTGAAACCTTTAACAAGTGAATGTTTCATGTAAACCTTCACCTTCGTGTCTTTCCAATTTCTGAGGAATGCTTATAACCTGGCAAAGATTTGGGTCTTAGGGTTTTCTAACTGCACTTGCCCTCTTCTGGAGGCATGGGGAATATGTTAGGTGTTTTGGCAAAGGAGTAGGCACACAATTTGAGTCACCTGTTTCATTCCTTCATACCAATGCTAATCCGTTCCTGAGGAAAGGCAAGGACCTAAGTGCTATCCTAAGTAGCTTTCAGACTGCCCAGAAGAACCAGAACAAGTAAAAAGTTAGGCTTTGCCAGGACAGCGTACAAGCTGCAGGGGAAAGCCCTGGGTACAGCACATTCATCTGGGGGTAGTCGACAGCTGCAGCCCTGGTGCTTGTCAAGAGTGCCAGCGCGTTGATAAGGGACAAGAGGGTACCCTGCAGAGTAGTATGCACAGAAGCACACAGGCTTGCCCACAGTGTGCCTCATAGGCCTTGGGCTTGCTTCTCAGAAAAGCACCCACTGAGGGCATTACCTAGTGCTAGGGAAGCTTGACACTAGTCCCCCAGCTTAGAACCGTGACTGGTTTGGTCCTGGATCACGTGCCATCCTCATTCCATTTCAAAAGATGGTGGTATATGTATGTATGTACCCATGACATCCAGCACCAATGGGAAAGCAGAAGCCTGAGCTGGCTTTCACGTCACCTCCTGTGCTGTCGATTCCCCAGTCACTTTAAAAATGTACAGTAACAATTGTCATAGCACAAGTTTTGTCTGGTGGAAAGCTGGATTGCTAACAGTTGGGCAGCAAGGTAGCTCAGCTGGTAAAGGTGCTTGCTGCCAAGACTGCCAACCTTAAGTTCCATTTCTATATCCTACATGGTGGAAGGAGACAGCCAGCTCCAGTAAAGCTGTCCTCTAGTCTCTCTATACACACCAGAAATAACGAGTACAGCTCAGGAAGCACAAGGTCAGCTCAGGCCTCTTGGATATTACCGTTTTTAAAAAGACACACCAGGACCATGGTTGATGGCGCACTTACCTGACATGTGAGGTCCTAGGTTCCAGCCCCAGGGCCACAAAAACCAGAAAGACAGCAACGGTTTCATGTTGAAACATTCAGATTTTAAAATTCTGTGAAGCTTTGAAAAAAGCACAATCTCAGAGCTTTGGAGCAATGGACAGGATGAGGATTTCTCATGGTATTTTCTCATTTACCCTAGAAATTCTAGTTCAGGTATGTTATAGCTGACAAAGTAAAGCAAGTTGCTCACATTCCTTTTGTTAGCTTAAAATTCTGACTTAACAGCAAATTCTTAGAGAAATGGAACCTATAGCTGTCTCCCATGAGGAAGTGAACCCCAACCATCAGCTCTGTCGTGAGGTTGAAGTTTACTTTCAAAAGAAAAAATATAAACAAAAATGGAGCCTACTTCACTGATACAACAAGAATTACAGATAGGAGGGTAAGGGCAAATTTTCTTCAAATACAGGCTCATTAATTTCAAGTTAATTTCCATTTTTCTTGCTAGGTCACTGGCATTCCCATCATGTCCAGAACTTAGTGCCACCTTCTGACTGCACCAGGTGCTTTGCACACCCAGCCCATCCTCTACATCCTGGCTCCGTATCACCTGGCACCGCATAATGACCAGGGCCTGCCTGTCTGCCATCTTCCTCCTGCCCACACCTCTCACTCCACCTCAACAGCTTGTCCTCCCACGGTTTGCACCAAGCTGTCTTGCTGCCTACACACCCTCTGCAACCCCTTCCTTCCTTCCCCAGAAAGCTAATTCACTAAGACACTGCGAGGCTGAAACCCTGCCACAGTGCAGTCACACCGCACTGATTCATCTGCTTCTCATCACCCCCACCAACAATACAGCCCCAGAACTTTGTGCAGTTTGGCTCAAAAACTATTTTATTGCATATAACCTGTTAAATTGATGAAAGTATGGCATATATATTCAAACACTAAACTTTAATAGCCACTTATCTATAAACATTTAATACTATTTTTTAACTTCATGCTTTAAGAAATATAAAAACTTTTGAAGATCCAACCTGATAGGCTAAAACTGTTAAGAATGCTGAACAGCTGACACACTGGCATGCTGTTGTAAGGAAGGTTAACAAGTAATATTACTAAAGCTGGGCATGAAGGTCCCTGTGACCCAGCAGGTTCCATCCCTGAGTGTGACCAAACAGAAATGAGTGTGGCCACTGTCAGCATTGTTCAAAACAGCCCTGAACTAGGGATAATTCTGATGGCTCATTTAATACTAGAATGAGTGAAAATCTTCTAGTATCTTTTAATTCTAGAGTAATGAAAAACAACTACACACAGCAACTGAGACACTACTTCATGAAGTTCATTAACAGGCTGAACTTATCTTTGGTAATAGGTACAAACTGTGCACCCTTTGGGAATAGACACTGATGGGAAGTGACAACAAGAAGCCTCCTGAGACAACAGAGGAAGAAAGTTATACAGGGAACACTAAGTAAACCAGGTTCACCCAGATAAGATCTGTGCACCTTACAATGTATACATTATTATCTTGCAAAGTCAGCAAGCTGGAGAGACAGTCATGAGACTAAACAGTCAGGCATCCATGTCTGCTGTCAAACATGAGACTGCAGTGCACAGTGATTCTGCTTATGTATGACACAGTCTGCTAGCAGAGCTGTTCATACCTCTTCCACATACTTTACTCTTAGGCCAACTAGGTGGCTTCGTGAGGTCTTACACAAGTTACTTCTTAGCACAGTCATTCTGCTAAATTCTGAGGGAAAATGCCTAAATTCCCCATCAAATTTGACCTGTGGAATTCAGTAAGTTGTGTTATCCCAAAATAACTTTATTTTCTTTCTACTTTATTCTAAAATCTGTTGCCACCTTTGGTAAAGATGGAACAGAGAAAGTTCCTTAGTTTTTTTGTGGGGTTGTCTTCTTTTGAGGCATGGTCTCATAGCCCAGGCTAGAACTTAAGCCCAGACTCTATTTAAACCCACAGCACTCTCCCTGCCTCAGCCTCCCAAGTAAATTTAAGTGTGAGCCACACCACACCAAGCTAGAAAAATTCTCTAAAATACAGGTTCTTTAAAATCTGCTACCACCTTTTAGCAAAGATAGTACACAGAATTATAAAATATAAATTATTAAAAATACAGAAGTCCTTAAAATTTGTTACCTTTTAGCAAAGGCAGAAAATTCTTTTAAAATATAGAAAATTTACCTGTTATGATTTTTCTTAAAAAGAAGAAATTTTGAGTACCTTGAAAACTGATACTACACTGGGTACTCTAGGCTGTTCAGCCAAAATGTCTGACATTATGAAGACTGTCAGCTCAGAGAATGGATTTTAATATTAGTAATGGATTAGAATGGATTTTAATTATTTAAGGAGAATATACAAATAAAGATAAATATGTTAAAATCTTCAAGGACAAGAAAGAAAAGTGTCTAAAATTAGAATGTATTCAGGACATGTATACTGGGCCTTACTACTGTAAGGCACCAGTGAACATAGCACCTTGACTTGTAAAATTCTGAGACAGGGTCTCCCTGTGATGCCCAGGGTCATGGGCTCAAGTGATCCTCCTGTTTTAGCTCCTGAGTAGTTGGGACAACAGGGACATACCACCACACCTGGATAGAGATGAAGACATTTTGAAGTACAACTGCTTATTATGTATATATAAAAAACACTGTGCTGACATGTCAGTCAGACTATAACCGCAGGTCCTCTTGCCTAGCATGACCATGAGGTAACAGGTGGTATGGGACACAATTATTTCAGACTCTTTGGGATCAGAGATTGGTTCTGTTACCTTCCAGGCAGTGGTCCAAGTGGTTGTTAATTCGAGACTCCAAAACTAAAATTTGACAGACTGGACAGGTGACCAGCTGTTGATGACCGAGTGAGCTGCTGGAACTCTGAGCTGTGCTGGTGCCTGAGGGGTGTGAGCAATTCTGCAGATTACTGCCACTACTCCGTGTTTGCTCCTTGATAATATTATCCAAAGAAGTCCTGTCCTCCAGCCTGGGTCGCTTATTTGGGAACTGGTCTTCAGACCCATGCGCTTCCTGCAACTTGGTTGAGGCAGCCACTTTGGCAGATGCCACAGTGGCAGATGCTGAGGCCATGGCCTTGGAGGTGTTTTTCAGGGATGTCCTGGAAGGCAGAACCTTTCTCTGAGAACCAGATGAGGGTGAGTGCTTGGTGCCATTCCCTGTGGACCCACTCTTTACTGGGGATCCGTTCACACTTCTGAAAGCCTTTTGGTTGGCAACAGAGACTTTGGGGAAATAGTTGCTCAGAACAGTCTCGTGACTGGCAGTGGGAACAGGGGAGACCAGATGAGGATTTTTACTAGAGAAACCATTCTGTTCACATTTCCCCTCAATGATGGAATTGAATCTCAGGCCATTTGTTGAATGGTTTTGACTTAAAAGACCTTGAACTTCACTAACCGCATATGAGGTCAACTTCCCAGATGGAGGAGTGCGTGTCTCTCCAAGAACATACCCTTTCCCACTGAAAGGGATAAGCGGCTGGGTCTCTCCTCTGCACAACTTGTCTACAAAGGAAGCAAACAAGACACTTCCTCAATACAACACTGATGCAGCAACAAACACTGAGCGAGTGGTGGATCTCTAAAATTAAAATGAGTATTCTAGATTTGTGCACTAATCACCTATTAATAAGGGAAGGCAATCTTGGGAAGTCAGAGCTCTGCTACTCAAAGAACATGAAAGAAATCTAAATAAAGGAGCCCTATCATCCCAAGCAGGCTAACCAAGGAAACTTTGCTCAGAAAAGTGCTCAGGTTCCTCTAATCTCCCTACACCAATTCTCACAGCTCTGACTTCTCAGCATTTCAGACTGAGAACTACAACTTGGCTCCTGGGACCCACCCCACCAAACTGACAACCTTGAAGGGAAAGTACATCCACCTTGAGTGCATCGCTGCCTTGAGGTGGGACTCTAGCTTCCTATGAGAGAAGCAGGTCCTAAGGAGGAGAAGGTACAAACACAGGCCACACCCCTTTCCCATGGTCCTCCCAATACACACACCTCAGCAGATATCACTGGGAACTCAGCTGCCAGAAGGCCCAGGGTTGCTTAGGACTTACATTCTGGGCACTGGTATTTCAATTGCTTTTGGGTTTTTTTGGTTTTTTTTTGTTGTTGTTGTTGTTGTTGTTTTTAGTCTTTTTGAGATAGGGTTCTCCCACCCTATAGCCCCAACTGGCCTGGAACTCATTATGCAGACCAAGCTGGCCTTGAACTGGCAGAGATCTACCTGCCTCTGCCTCCCAGGTGCTGGGATTAAAGGTATGCGCCACCAGGCCTGGCTCCATCAACTGCTGTTTTTAACTCTTGAATCTTTTTGCCTTGCTTCCTATAAGTCAGTGATGTCAAGACAGGGAAAGGAACTCTACCTCAGATGTTATTTCATCTGAAAACATCTCCATCCAAGCAATTTCTGCAATAAACTTAACCCTGCTTAAGGGCAGCAATGTCCATGCTATGTCAAGGTCAAGAAGATGGGAGAGGTTTAAAGCTACCTTTATCTTCCACTGCTGACACTGGCTGCTTTTCTGGTTTTGTCTTTCCTCTGCCTTTCTTTGAGTAGTTCTCAGGTTCCTTAATTTTTATGTAAGTGCCTCCGCAGGTTTTCTGGTGGGCAGCCCACCAGTAGTCATGAGCTGAGGGCGCCCTGTTGGTGGCACGCTTGACGTAGCCGTAGTAGGGCTGCTTGTGCTGGCAGGGCCCATCACAGCGCCACCAATGCCGCCGGTATTCATCCACCTCATCATGAAAAGTATGGTAGACCTGGGCAGAGGGAGTTTCAGCAATCAGGACACAGCCAGCAGTTCTACAAGTTGTTTATGTGTAGGAGCAGTTCTACAAGTTGTTTATGTGTAGGAGCAGTTCTACAAGTTGTTTATGTGTAGGAGTGTTTTGTCTGCATGTATGTACGTGTACCCAGGTCATGCAATGCCCATGGAGGCCAGAAGAGGGTGTTGGATCCCCTAGAACTGGAGTTACAGACAGTTGTTAGTAGCCCTGTCTGTGCTAAGAACCAAAACCAGGTCTTCTGCAAGAGCAGCTATTGCTCTTTACTACCGAGTCATCTCTCCAGCCCCCTCATTTTTAAAAACATATTCCCATATATTTCTAAAAAGTTCTATTTTGGAAAAGATACTATATTTAGTTTCTTTTCAAAGTTTACTTTAATAGGAAACATCAGTAATAATTCCTAAACAGTATAAAGATAGAAGCATGCAAGACAAGGTTTTGGAGGGGAAAAAAACCCCACATCCATAAAAACACTCCTATGAATGGTAAATGCTTCAGAAACTAAATAGTAACATGATCAAAAGCTGGGACTGAAAGGTTTCCTACAATGGTGTAAAAAAAACAAAAAAACAAGGAGGCTGGGCATGGTGGCGCACGCCTTTAATCCCAGCACTTTGGAGGCAGAGGCAGGCAGATCTTTGTGAGTTCGAGGCCAGCCTGGTGTACATAGTGAGTTCTGAGAAGAGCACACTACTTCCTTAAGTGTAAATTCCGAAAATACAACCTGTTGTACTGGTTAGTTTTTGTCAACTTGAAACCAACTAGTCACCTGGGAAGGCAGAACCTCAATTGAGGAATTTCCTCCATCAGACTGGCCTGTGGCAAAGTCTGTGAGGCAACTGCTAACTGATACATGAGAGCCTAGCCCATTGTAGACAATGCCATCCCTGTGCTTATAAAAAGCTAGCTGAGAAAGCCAGGGGAAGCAAACCAGTAAGCAGTGTTCCTCCATGGTCTCTGCTTTAGTTCCTGCCTCCAGGCTCCTGCCCTGGCTTTCCTCAAGATGAACTGTAACTTACAAGCTGAAATAAACCCTTTCCTCCCCAAGTTAGTTTTGGTCATGGTATTTAGCACAGCAACAAGCAGCAAAGTGGGACCCCTGTAAAAGTGCTTATAACAGCTAGACCCTGCCTAAAAACATGCAGTGAGCAGGGCATGGTGGTACACGCCTTTAATCCCATCTCTCAGGAGGCAGAGGCAGATCTCTGTGAGATAAAGGCAAGCCTGGTCTTTGACCCTGTCTCAAAAAAAAAGGTAAAATCTCACAATACATGCTAAGACACTGCATGTTCTTCTTCTCAAGGACCCAACTGGTAGGTACTGCCGTTGTATCATGTTCGTGAGAACAGATGAGGCCCTGAAGAGTTCAGTGGCAGAGCATGGACAGCTCAGCTGCCTCAGCCCTGGCTGTGCCACATCCTCCAATGCGATGCAGTAGTGAATCAAAGTCCTCTGATGGGCTGCCATGGGAAGTGGTCCAGAAGAGTCTAACTGCAGGCCTGTTGGAGATCTGAAACGGATCTGCTGGCTCTGAAGCCACCCTCCCTGCGGACTAGACAAGCCCATTCATTTCTGTGGCACTCTTCACGGCTTAAAGTACTTAGATGTTTCTACTTTTTAAAGCTCAGTAGTTGCTGAATAAATACCATTAAATACCATAACTGTATAGGCCAGTGGTGCAATGGCTCACACCTGTAATCCCAGCACCCTGGAAGCTGAGTGAGAATTTCGAGTTTCAGGCCAGCCTGGTCTACACAGCCACACTCTGCCTTCCCTTGCTCCCCAAGCAATGTATGTAACCCCACATACCGTTATGTTGGCACCAGTCAGGTGGTTGATTCGATACATGTGCTTACAGAACTCTGGGCCATGTCCTTCCCTGTCTTTGTCATTATTAGTCACAAACAAGTAAGCATGTATCATCTCATGCAAAAGAGTCTAAAAAAGAAAAATGATCAAATTTTCTACGGCACTTCTGAAAATAAAAATGCACTCTCTTTTTCAACCTGGAATCTTAAACCTTTTGCAAGCATAAGTTCACAAGATTTTGCATATAATATTCCAAGATCTGCAGCTCCCAGGAAACAACTCATTTCAAGAAACTATTGTGCAAGAAACCGAATTACAAACCCAAATCCCAAAGATCAATGAATTCGACTACACAAAAATGTTAAAAATTCTGATAGGGAAACCCACTGTAAGAAAAGTGCAGAGATGATTCTGACAACTGTGCAACAGTCACATGGCTCTTAATCATCAATAAAAGGGGCTCCCAATGCCAACATGGAAAGGACAAACAGCTCGGATTTAAAGCTGAGTACATGTCAGGCCGGCACACACCTGTTAATTCCTGCACTGGGGAGGCAGAGGATCAGGAGTTTGAGGCCAGCCCATCTCAAAACTATAAGTAAAAGATCTTGGGAGTTAAGCCTGGCTTGTTAGTGCACACCTATAAACCCAAACCTCCAGGGGCTGAGGTAGAAGAGTTTGTGGCCAGCTTGGGCTACATAGCAAGATCTTGTCTCAAAAACAAAAACAAAACCTCTACAAATCACTGAGCTATGCAATACCTCTACAAGGTCCTTCCTAGGTCTCAGTTTTAAAAGTGGTTCACTGAGACGGATGGAGCACATTCCGCCTCTTCCCTCATAGGTGCAGATTCCAGCGCACCTAGAAAAGTCACAAGTATGGGTTAGTAGCACTCCGTCACCCTCACCCACACCGTCACTGTCCTCTGCTGCCCAGACGCCACCACCCGTAGGCAGTCACCGCGACTGCAGAGGCACTGCAAATCGGCCACGGCGCCGATTAGTCTGCATCACTTGAGTGATGGTGTGCAACTGCATCTTAACGCCAACTCCACGCAGGTGGAGGGCGGGTTGGCATCTTAAATGTAGTGGGTAGCGCTGGGATCCTGCTGGGCCCCGCCCACTCTGGGTTCAGTTTGGACCGCCTGTCCCGGTGACCTCTCCCTCTGCGCGAGCCGAGGGCACCAACACCAGCTCGGCCTCCTCGCCCGCCCCCGCGTTCCGAGCCGCTGGCGGGCACACTCACGAGGTCATGCGCATGCTCCACTTCACCTCCACCGCCTCCAGCTGGCCCCAGAAAAATCGGTCGTTAAACTCCAAGAAGAGTGCCTGCAGGTCCGGGGTGGGGTCCACCAGCTCCCACGACGCGTCCACCAACGACAGGCTCTCCCGCGCCGCCTCGCGCTGCGCCGCCAGCATGTCCCACTCCTCCTGCAGCCGCATCGCCACCACCAAGTCCTCGTCCATCCCTCAACTCCGGCCGCCGCGCCACTCCCTAGATAACCGTCGGGCTCCCGCGAGTCCCGCGATACGTCAGGGCCCGGCTGACCCGTAACTGGGGTCAACGGAAGGCAGGTGCGCGTCGCCCACTGGGCGCGGGCTGGGGAACGCTGGGCTCCAGCTGAAAGCCGCTTCGGAAAGCTTGCTACCGTCTCACATCCACCCAAGCCCACGGCAGACCTAGTTCTGATTCCATCAGCGGCTTGCCCGCGCACGCGCCTTAAGACTCTGGCGTTCTCGCGCAGGCCCTTCGCGCTCCCCTCCCAACGCAGGCGCAGAGTGACGTGCGAGCCCCAGCGCAGGCGCAGTAGGAAACGCTCGGCGCAGGCGCTGGCGGCGCTCGACCCCGGCGCGTGCGCAGCTGTCTCGCTGTCGCTCCCGCTTCTCTTCCTCTGCGGCCCGGCTCCGCGCGGCTCGGGTGGGGCTGGACGGCAGCGAGTGACAGAGGGTGCGGGCGGCCGGTGCCGAGCCGGCCGTAGTCATGTCGGACAGCGGGGCGAGCCGCCTAAGGCGGCAGCTGGAATCCGGGGGCTTCGAGGCGCGGCTATACGTGAAGCAGCTGTCGCAGCAGTCGGACGGTGACCGCGACCTGCAGGAGCACCGGCAACGGGTGCAGGCGCTGGCGGAAGAGACTGCGCAGAATCTGAAGCGCAACGTCTACCAAAACTACCGGCAGTTCATCGAGACGGCCCGCGAGATCTCGTACCTGGAGAGCGAGATGTACCAGCTGAGCCACCTGCTGACGGAGCAGAAGAGCAGCCTGGAGAGTATCCCGCTGGCCCTGCTCCCCGCCGCCGCCGCAGGGGC